AGAGAGAGAGAGAGAGAGAGAGAGAGAGAGAAAGTGAGTAACTACTCCCAAGGTGGACAAGAACCATATTAGCATCTCCGGTAGGTCCTTGCTTAGCAGAGAGAGGTAGGAACACCTGGCCATCTCCGCCAGTGGAGAGGGGCACTGCCTCTTGGGAAGGAGCCCCTGTCCAGCTTCCCATCCCCTGAGCACTTCAGGATGGCAAGAGGTACGGCCACTCCTGCTGCATGTCTAGGGCTGAGCTGAGCCATTCCTATCCTGGCTAGCCTTGTGCCTGCTTTCTTTTCGTTTCTTCACTAGGGAAGGAAAGAAAAAAGAAAAAAAAAAAACAAAAACCCAAGACTTAAAAAAGAAGAAAGGAACAGATCTGAGATTCCAGAGGAAGCTTTCAACCTGGGCTTTGATTTTGCTAAAATTCAATGTATTCAATTCAACCTGGAGGAAAAGATAGATGGAAATGGCAGAGACTGGGAGGTGAGAACAAACCTATGTCCACCAGATGGAAATGGCAGAGACTGGGAGGTGAGAACAAACCTATGTCCACCAGCCATACAATGTCGCCTTGGAATGTCAGCCATGCCCCCCACCCCTCAGAGCTCCCCAACTGCTCAAGAGAGGTGGGGCATCAGGGCTTTCCCAGGGAGCCAGAGGCCTCTGCAAGCACCAAGTAGGCCGTGTTTGCAGAAAGGAATGGCAAGCTTCTCATTAATAACACATTTGGTGCATAATTGTTTATTCAAATCAGCTTGAAATACTAAGTGTCCCTCTCCTATTGTGACCATAAATCCAATGAAAATGCTTTTTAAATAGTTGCAAATGGCAAGCAGGGACTTCAGCTATAAAAAATTGTTCTGGTGCAACATTCATTTGGGCCTGTTATGCCGGAATGCAGCCCAGGCTGCGTGCACGCCCGCTACCCCTTCCTGCTGGAGAGCCTTCCTCACCCGTCTGCGGAGGGGGCTGGCACGATGCAGTGTGAGGAGAGCAGACCCAGTGCCATCAGGCATATTGGTAAGAAGGGTGGCAACCTACTTGCCCCAGCTACTCAAAGCCACACAGGCCCAGCAAAGCCACACAGGCCCAGCATAGTCACATACTGCGGACCGCACCGTGCCCTCCTGCCCCACAGGGATGTCAGCATTGCTGCTCTAGCCCTGCTCGGATGCAGCCACTGAGGCCTTTTGTCTGTTCCCTGAGCAGCACTGACCAGAGAAAGAAAGACATTCAAAGACTTCACTATAGGGAGAATCTGAGATTACGTGCTACCTCTGGCCTGGCATTGGGGGAGCCCAGGGCACCCGTGATGACATCAAGCCACCTTTGCCCACCTCTGCCCACTTGGTCTTGGCCCTGCCTGTGAGGCTGGGCTTCTGCCTCCTGCCTGGTCCAGCTGTGCCCTTCTAGGTGTGGGAGTCCCGTCCTCAGCTGGGCAGGCAGGCACTCTCTGCTCGGCCCTGAGCACCACGTACCCCTCTCTCTGGTCACACCTCCCCGGTGGCCACACCAGGTACAGCCACACCGGGTGTCACCATACCCTTTAGGCACTGTGTGCTGACCTATTGACCCTGAATACCCCCTGATGTGCCAGTCCTGTTGCCTAGGTCACACACACCTCCCATGTCACCTGTTCCCAGAATTCTCTCCTTTCCCTCCAGCTCGTAACTGAGTTCCCAGCATGCTTTGCTCCCACTGGCGCCGAAGTCCGCGACCCCACTAGGACGCCTCCTCCCCTCCCCTGAGGGGCTTACCAGCCCACATTGAACTCCACGTGGGCATCGAAGAGTGCCACCACGGGGGCAGTGGCCACCCTCCAGCCGCTGACCCTGGAGCGGATGAGGCCTTCCTGCTTGCTGTGGCGCACGACCTTGATGAAGCCGGGCTTCTGGCCATTCACCTTGTCCACGTACTCCGCCAGCTTCTCCTTCAGTTCCTCTGTCGGGGAGAAAACGCATCCTTAGCAAGGCGGGGGCCAGGGGCAATCGAGGCATTCACTCTGCCAGGGAGAACTGACCCAGAGAGCCGCTGGAGGGCCCAGTCCCCGCCCTGGTCTTCCTCGGTGCTCTGGACGGCGGCCAGCACCGCTCAGCTTTGAAGGGAAAGACGGGAAAGTGCCATCTACAAGGCCCAGCCACACTCACGGCATCCTGCGCGTCATGCACATTGTCTGTTTAATCTTCACAACGAGCTAATAGGAAAAGGGTGACCAGAAGGTTTATCAATCTCTCCAACATCACGCAGCCTGTGAGGGGCACAGTCCAGTTTCACACCGGGTCCCATGACCTGAAGAGCCGTGATCTCTCCTGATCGGCCGGGCTGCCCCTTCCCAGTGCTCCCACTGGTGCTCCCACAGCCCCAGGGAAAGCTCTGTTGGCCCAGACATAGCCCGGGACCCACTCTCTGCCGGGGTCCCTTGTTCCAGGAAGTGGGTGGCCAGGAGCTGTGCCCCTGGGAGCAGTTGCCATTTGTTTGCTGCCTACAACTGCTGGGCCTGGCTAAGCATTTTGTGTTCCCACAGCCGCTGAGGCAAGAGCCTACGACAGCCCTCACGGCTGCTTGGACAGGATTTCCAATTACCCATCTCAAGGTGTGCATTCCCGCTGACCATGTTGAGGAGCAGTCTTCCAACCCCTGCAGTAAAAGGGGATTCTACACAGTCCATTCCTTTTGGGGCCACTTCAACTATTAGAAGTTCTTCCTTCTCCTGACCTCCAAATGCCAGGGTCCCTCAACCTTCCACTCATCAGTCCCATGGGACCTGTTTTGAAGCCATAGATGACAGATCCAGTCCCTCTTCCACATAACAACCCTTTGGAGTGGAAGACCATCCTTAAGTCCTTGCTGAGGACTTCTCTAGGTCAAATACCTTCAGTTCTTCCTTATTTTTCCTTGAATTGCAGGATTTCACATTCTTTAATCATGTTGAATGTCCCTCTAAATAAGTTAGTTTTTCTCTCTTCTAAATTATGTACCCAGAAGTTGATATAATACTTGTGCTATAAAATGGGCTATATAGAATACAGGGAACCTAATCACCTCCTTTAATCTAGAATTTATGCTCCTGTTAATATATTCTAAAGTCACATCAATTTTGACTACTTTTTGATTTGAACTAAGCTTACTGGAAACATACCTCTACAAGTATTTTTTTATGAGGTGCTACTAAGTCAGGCCGCCCTCATCCTGCATGTGAGTGCAGGCGTAGGTGCATGTGCTTGTGTGCACACGTACACACGCACACACTGAGCCAAAACAAAGAATCTAACATTTAATCTTATTTAATTTGACCTTTCTAAAGATTTACACTATTTGTCTTTGTTATCTAGCCCTTCCAGCTTTCCAGCGTCTGTCCACAAAAGAGGTGAGCATATGGTCTTTATTGTCATTCAAGTCATCCTTTTAAACAGAGTCACCTTTGTCCTAAACTGGGGCCAGGGGGGCTGTCAGGTGTTCTCACTCCAGTCTGGAGAAATTGCAGCTGACTTTTGGGCTGCCGCTAACACGCTGTGTATCTCACCGTCGCCCACAGGAGAGTGACCTCGCGATCTCTGATTGCCACAGCTGGCTGGGGACACTGCCGTCTCACAAATGTCAGGACGGTGGCCACAGGACTGCGTGACTCCATGTGCCCCATGCTGACAAGGCCCTCAGGCACCATCGCCAGGAGGCCGCTTAAAACATTTACTGCTTCATCACTCCAGCGGTTCTCTCATATATCCTTTTTGAAAATTTTAAGTGGACCTCATAAAGCCTGATAGTTGGGCTTTTGATAGTGGCAGTTAAGTGGTGAATGCACAGAACTCGGAGTGAGAACTGGGCTGGTGACAGATGACCTAATATATAACCCCTCCCCTCCCCTCCACCCAGAAATACAAACCTGTCCCCTTCTCGTCCTGCCCACCCCTCAGGTGAGACTGATGGGGGTGACTAAGGTATTGATGGGAGCAGGCTGTGGATGGTTGCTACCTAATGGTCCCCCACGAACCCCACCTCCCAGAATTCCCATCCCATGTGGCCTCCTAACACGCTGAATCTGGGCTGGGCCCCTGACACAACAGGAAGCAGCAGGAAGGACTCTGTGCAAACCCCAGGCTGGTCTGTAAGAGGTCTGGAAGCTTCTGCTTTGCTGCCTTGCTGTCCTAAGTAAGGAAGCCCGAGCCAGCCTCCTTGAGGGCCCCAGTCATTTAGGCCACCCCACCAGGGCCCCAGATGAGCCACCAGCTGATTACAAATGCCTGGGAGAGCCCAGCTGACACCATGTAGAGCAGAGACAAGCTGCCCAGCAATCCCAGCCTTTATCGTCGGATTCCAAGCCAACGCATGGTTGCTGTTTCACACCACTAACTTCTGGAACGGTTTGTTATACACAAAGGCTAACGAGTGTCTGTTGTTCTGGTCTGGTGCTGGGGTTAAAATAAGATTGTGAAGCCCTGATGCATAGGCAGTGAAGTTGGATGAAGAGGAGCTAGCTCAGATGATGGCAGCAAGAGACAGAAGGCTTTGCTTCTTGTAGGAGCTACTTGCTCCTTTGTACATCTGAGCTCTGTCAACACCAAACTACAGTAAAGGTTTCTGGTAGACCAGCTACTGAAAAATTCTGTTCTCAGTCAGCTTCATCCTCAACATGTGCTATTGATTAGAAGAAGGAATTCTTTTAGCCCCAGTGAAACTGCTATCCAAAAGTAAGAAGGAAGAAAAAAGTCTTGAAATACTCTAGATGATACTGGTGTAGTCTTTGCAAAATATCTTTACTTAATTAGGTTTTCATGTTTTCCTTCAACCTTTGTTAATTGGCAAAGCAAGAAAGAACTATTGAAAAAAAGTACTTCTGCATTTTCTGGAACAATGTTTTCTAAGATATTGCCTGTTGTATATTATATATTATTATAATAATATGTATGTTGCCCGTTAAATATTGTATACACACACACATATATATACACACATAAATAATACCCCTCAGGACTTAGCTAAAGTTCTTTAGCTTGGAGTTAAAGAACTTGTGTTTTTTCTTATACCTAAACACAAGTACATAACCCATCATATTTGCCTTTTTGCTAAGGCTGCCAGGAAGCTTGGATTCAAATAAAATGACTAATTCAAAGGATTCTGTCAACATTTATGCTTCCCTACCATTGCTAAGGCTTTGGTTTTCAAGTTCTAGTTTAATAGCTACATTATCTTTTTTCCCTCCTGGGTAAACTACCTTTAATTATTTTTTTGTGTGAAATATTTATAAATAACATTGAACAAAGTATCTTGGTAGGCCAGGACAGGAGTATAATTGTGGGAGAAAGGGGGAAGCTATATTTTGTACTTGTTTTAACGTGCAGGGGAAAGAGCAGGTAGACAGTCCGCTTGCTGTGACTTTGCTAGGTTGGGTCAATGTGGAGCTGTCGATGGCCAGTGTTGACAGAGAAATACGGTTTTCACCCTGCATGGGACCAGGTGTCAACCTGCTTGTGTTGCTGTTCCAGTCCTCTCCAGCTGCCCACAAATTCTGCTCTGCTGACATCTGAAGGACCTCTGCAAACTGGCACTCCAGAAGCAGTGGCAACGAAACCCCCCTTGCCCCCTAGGGGGTCACGCTCCACATCCCCACGTGGAACCTCCTCTCAGAGCCAGCTAAGTACATGCTGCCTGTGGCTCTCACTGCTTCGACGCCGAGGAAACCCGAGAGATTCTCCAGCCTGGCCAAGCAGAGCCTTTCTCCTCTCCCCGTCCATGTGCCTCCACTGCTCCCCTGAAAAGTGGTGAGCTCCACAGAATGCAGGCTGAACAGGAAGGGTCTGGCACCCACGGCTGTTAATCTGATTTAAACACTCAATGGGACATTCTGATCTCATGCATAAAGGAAACTGAAGGATCAGGAAGTTGATGCCAGTGGGGCTTTGCTCTTTGGAAGGCAGCTGCACAGGCGTTTGGCTACATGGCTTTCCCAGCCGTGCTATGGAGAACCGAGTCCAGATCTTTTTCTCTCCCTCCCACATTGAGTCAGAGAGTCAGAGGATCATCTCCCACATTTGCTCTAGGTTTGGGGAAGTTGGAGGGAAGGGAGAGCTCACCCATTCATTCATTCATTCATTCATTCATTCATTCATTCATTCAACAAATACCGAGCACTTGCTATGTAGCAGGTACTGATCTCATTGCTGTGGACAAGACAGTCTGCAATGTCTGTGTCCCCCCCAAATTCACATGTTGAAATCCTAACTCCCAATGTGGTGGTGGGGCTTTGGGAGATAATTAGGTCATGAAGGTGGATCCCTTGTCTTAGTCCACTTTGTGCTGCTATAACAGAATACCTGAGACTGGGGAATTTATAAGGAACAGAAATTTATCAATGATCAAATGTCAAATGTTCTCACAGTTTTGGAGCCTGGGAAGGCCAAGATCAAGGTCCTGGCATTTGGTCTGGTGAGGGCCTTCTTGCTGCGTCCCCACATGGCAGAAAGAAGAAGGGCAAGCCAGCCTAAAGCTGCATGAGGCCTCTTTGTAAAGAGCCTTAATCCCATAAACAATGGAGCAGTTCTCATGGGCTATTCACTGCTGAAAGGCCTCATCTTTCAATACTGTCACATTGGCAACAGCCGAATTTTGGAGGGGACACACTGGAACCATAGAAGCCGTAATAAATGGGATTAATGCTCTTGTAAAAGGGACCCCAGAGAGCTCTCTTGCCCTCTTTCTGCCATGTGAGGATATGATGAGAAGTCAGGAGTCTGCCTCCTGGAAGAGGCCCTCAGCAGAACCTGGCCATGCTGGCACCCTGATCTCAGACTCCCTGGCTTTCTGTAGTTTATAAGCCACTCAGTCTGTGACACTTTGTCACGGGAGCCTGAAGTGAGACACAGTCGAAGCACCCCACCCCCTGGGAGGACATGAATCAACTCATGAGTGATCCACGCCTGGGACCCGGACACCTCCCAGTAGGCCTCACATCCAAAAGTGAGGATCAAATGTCACCATGAGATTTGGAGGGGACGAGTATCCAAACTATAGCCGAGAGGGAGAGGAAGCAGAAAGTGCTGTGGAGCTACCATCTACAGAGGTAGTCGTCAATCAATGTGGGGTAGGAGTTGGGGGATGAACACTCCATGTAGGGGTTATGTCCCCACAAGTTCCTATATTGAAGTCCTAACCACCGGTAGCTCAGGATGTGACCTTATTTGGAGATAGGGTCTCTGCAGGTGGAATAAGTAATGATGGGGTCATTCTGAAGTGAGGTGGGCCCCTAATCCAATATGACAGGTTTTCTTGTAAAAAGGGGAAATTTGGACACAGACACACTCAGAGGGAGATTCTTCACTTTCCACCGGGTTGTTATTTCTCTGTATGGTCAGTCATCTTTGGGTCTGATGCTTGGACTGCTCCCTGCAGTTTCCCAGCCACCCTCTGCATGGGCCACTGCCTTCTGTCCCTCTCTGGCCACACTCCTCCTCTCTAGCTCAAGGCTATCCCTTGAGGGCCAGCCTGGATTATAATGGCCCCGGAGGGGAGTGTGAACATGCCACCCATCCCCCCAAACCACTCCCCACTAAGAAGTGCTAGTAATTCTTCGTTTCCCTTGGTGCTAATTTGAAGATGAAAAGCACAGCACATTTCTGTTTATTCCTTTCAGAGTGAAAACTAGCTGGTCTTCCTCAGATCAGATTAACTGGCTTTCCTCTGAAGCCATTTAGAGTCATTGAAACACAAATGCTATGTCAACACACTTCAAAAGAGAGATTATTCATAAGGATGCAATGGTTGTCAAACCAGACATGCGTATGAATCCACATCGTGTGGGGAGCTATAAAATAAAGACAGATGCCACCCACCCCCACCTCCATGGAGAATGTGGAGTGGAGGCTCTGGACTCAGATGGTGGGGCTGGGACGGCTGGGACCCAGAGAGCTCCAGGGCAGCGTCTAAGTGCACATTCTGCTCTCTTTAAGATCACTCCAGACAAGCTTTCAAACTCTGGGCAGTTTACAAATGTTTTCCTTGTGGTTCATTCTTCTGTCCGCTACACTTAACAGCTGCACTTCTGTCCAGCTCTTGTAATAGCAGCACTCCTTCAAAGTCGATTGATATTGAAGGATATTTGGAATGGCCTTAAATAGTCCCCCTTACTCAGAAGGCCTGATCTGGCCATTTTTTGGTAGGGATCTGGGGAAAGGCTCCATCTAAGAGCCCTGGGGATGACATATAATATATGGCTATGGGGGCCGGGCACACAGGGCTACAATCTTCTCTGGAAGTTGCAACTATTAATTCAGCCTTGTCAAGTTGTAGAAAGTCCCAGAATTACCACCGAATAGACCCCACTATCTGGGGTCTACTCTTTGATGTCACAGCAGGGCATTTATGGCCACCAAAACCCATAAGAACTATGCACTCCAAACTTAGTGGAGTCTCCAAAGCCAGGCTCTAAAAACCCACAAGCACTCTCTTATCTGCTACCAAATGATTTGTTTTCCCAAAGATCCTGTATCCTGCAACAAAATGGTCAAACCTGGTTTCTGAAGATGACTGCGGCAGATGACATAAAAAATGTTTCCCTGGCCAATCAGGAATGCATTGGGTTCTAATCAAAGTTTGACACTCTCTTTCTCTTTCTCTCTCTCTCAAATTAAAGCAAAGCAAAACAAATAAAAAACTCCCTTGATTTTGAAAGAGCTCACAGAATTTCCAAAATACGACTCCTTGGTGTAAAGAGTATCTTAACCACTTCGGTACAGCGCTCACTGGCCGCGAAACCTCGCCCACAGCCGGCACTCGTAGTCTGCACGATAGTTTGTGCTGTGCATTGACGACGAATCCGTTTTGCTCTTGTGTGATGAGGAAAGCTTTAAAGCACTGAAAGCTTGTTTTACTTTACAGGCAGCTTTACTTGTCATGTAAATCAGAATAGGTAACATATACATATATGTTTTGATTACGTTATTTTTAAATGTTCACAATTTTATTTTGATAAATGAAAAATTAGAAAAGTCATATCACGGCTGTTGGCTAAAGTCGCCGTGCGCATTCGTCTGTGGCCATCGACTATAGTCGACACTCGTACCGAAGTGGTTAAATGAAAGGCCCTTAGAGAGCAACAGGTGTTGGAAGGGCTTTTCCCTCTATCTGCATAAAACCAGACAGACCCATTAAAAGAACACTTGTCTTCCCTCCCCCTGCCAGTTATCCTAATATGTTGCAGGAAAGAAGATCAAGAATTCAACCAGACCTGGCCTAACCCATTTTAAAGATAATGCCTGTCTCTCAGGTTCATTTAATTTCCAGAGAGAATCATTTACAAGTCAATCTGTTTCCTCCATCCATTCCCTCCCAAATATCTATTCATCCGTCCTAGTAACCATTTATTGCCTCTAAACAGAATTACCTATATTCCTAATCTCCCCCTCCTCTCTAAAATGAGAGTATATAAATTTCTGGTCCCCGTTGGGATATTGTGTAATCACTCTGTGATTCTCACCATGGGCACAATAAATACATCTCTTTCTCTTACTGATCTTCCTTATTGTGAGTTGATCTTTCAGTAAACCTTCTGGGGCTGAAGGGAAAGTTTTCCTTCTCTCCACAATTTCTAACGTTTGCCAATGTCTATGGTATAAATGTTTCCACTGTTGGTGACTTTAGTCTATTCACCTGACGCCACTGACTCTGAATTAGGAGGAGATGCATGGAACTGGGAAGGGCTGTCCACCCTCAGCTCACGATGGTCTGAGTGAGCCCAGCGCTGGTCTGCTGCCCGGGGCAGAAAGGCTGCGGCATTGACCATATAATGGGCACTGTGCTCAGCACTTTATATCAATCCATCCCATCTTTTATTCATTCATTCAACAATGATATATTATGCACAGATGAAGTGCCAAGAACTATTTAAGATTCTCACCTCACTACCACCCTGCAAACAATGATATTTATAGTTAATGCTTATTTATTTAGTGTTTATTGTGTGCCAGGGGCTGTTCTAAACCTGCTGCGTGTATTACCCATTCAGTACTCTCAACAGCCATAATACTACTCAAGGCAGGTTGTATTAATATTATTACCCTTGTTCCATAGATTAGGAAATTGCAGCCCAGAGAGGTTAAAGAATTTGCTCAGTGGCACAGAGCTGGGAGGCAGTAGAGCTGGGATGCAAACCCAGGCAACCGGGTTCCAGCGATCATTATTATCTTCAAGATGACAAAGGGATAAATCAGGGATCAGACACTTTCAAGAACATACCCAATGACACAGCAGGTGAGGAAGGAGCAGATTCAAGCTCAGATCTGCCTGACCCTGGAGGCTTGGCTCTTTCCCGCTCTTCC